CAGACACGATCTGCCTCAAATCAAGGAAAAGGAAAGGGAAAGGCAACCAACGTGCGACAAGTGGAAGAAAAAAGTAGTGTGGCATCATCATCTCAAATTGCGGCATTGGAACAAGCAATTGCTGCACTTTGTGGGATGAAGACAACCCCAACTACTTCCTCATCCAGCAAAGGCAAGGACAAGGTGAAAAGCAAAGGCACAGACATGGCATCAACGGCATCGGCATCTACGGTCAAGAACACCAACGTGAGAATCGTCGAGGTTGACGAATTCTCAGAGGATTTTCAGTACGAAGTGTAGATAATTCTGGTACTACACTTCAGGACGATTGTATTAGTACTGTGAGAACGAATGTATCTAGCAACCATCTATATATCGCATCCGCAGGTTTTTCTAAACATTTGATCGAATTGCCGATAAGATTCGTATCACGGGAAATCCAGACAATGGCACTACTGGATTCAGGAGCATTCTCTTGTTACATCGACAAAGCATTTGCTCAGAAACACGGATTCACAATGATATCACTGAACCGTGAAATAATAATCCTCAACGCAGATGCTAGCCCTAACAAAGGCAGTGCAATTACTTATCGTGTAGTCACAAGCATCTTAATTGGGGGGCACCGATCAACCGAGAGCTTGCTCGTCACTAACCTCGGACGCATGTCAATGATCCTTGGCATGAAATTCCTACAAGAACATAACCCCCAAGTTGACTGGGAACATAGAGAGGTCACGTTCTCAAGATGCAGACACATGTCACGGGACCCGAACTAATCTTAATGAACCAATACCAATTATGACGATAGACCACTTCGCCAAAAGGCTAGTAATGCTAAGCTTGTCTTAGCACTTGGTTCGGACTATATATGATAGGTTTTTCACGTGGCACGGAGGGTCATACTGTGACACTACCCCGCTCTCAAGACTCCTCGTCCCGAGGGGTATATAGCACCAACCTCAACCAGGGTATATAGCTGGCGAACCCTATTTTGATTGTAGTCAGGGGTATTGCATTAACTCTCTGGGTCTATAGTGACTAACTTGCATGAAAGGATGGGGCGCCACCCTTCAAACACCCCTTTTGTCCATAGATCATGACTAACTCGCACGATTCGACATCTTTAGCCTATTCGTGACTAACTTGCACGACCTTATAATCGTGTCTAACTTGCACTATAAGTCTGCCAGACCAGAGGTTCAAACCAGTGACCTTAGGTAAGCTTAGCATTTTGTCACGGGACCCGAACTAATCCCTATGAACCAATACCAATTATGACGATGGACCACTTTGCCAAAAGGCTGGTAATGCTAAGCTTGTCTTAGCACTTGGTTTGAACTATATATGATAGGTTTTTCACGTGGCACGGAGGGTCATACTGTGACATCAATATAGTGAACACAAGGTCTTTGTTGGCACCATCCGAGCTTTTTAGGAGTTGATTCATTGTTGTGACAGCTCTCCGCGATCATCTTCTTCATTGCATATGTGCAGATAATGTACTACTTGGGTGTCATGCAGTGGCTGATCAAGGTAAACGACCTGTGGTGTCCATTCACTGTTGATGACGTGCCACATGCAGTGTGTGGGTCTTCTTCAAGTTACTGAATGTGTTGGGTGCAGAAGCTGTCATTGGGTCCACGTCACCGTTCATCGGACAGGGTGAGTTGGCCTGTCTAGTGAAGCCCTACATGGACCTTATGACTCTATCTGAGCTTCACCTGACCATGACATCCGGTATGTCTATCGGTGTTCTCGTTGTGGTGTTTACAAGAACTTACAAACTTTGAAAGGTCTTCCACCATCTCTGGATCTGTACTGACTGCATACATCAACCTTGGTGTGCTGCCACAGAATCTGATCACTGCTTCCGTTATGAGCATTCCGGCTTCCATCACCATCAATAAGATGTGCATGTCCGAGGTCGACGAGCCCACCGACAGGTGATCATCAACCAAGAAGCTGAGCGGGAGAAAAACAGGCCCACGAACGCGCTGAACACGTTTAGCCAGGGTGCTTTGTTCAGTCTCATTGTCGCTGGCCAAATCCTGTCAGTGCTGCTGCTAACTGTAACTATGCTCTCGCTGACGATTCCCTGCTACCAGAACGAATGCCCTGACTGTTGTTTCTCTTGTGTCGACTGTCAACGGCCTGCTCACATGAATCGACAAAGGCTTCAGCTTTCATGTGCTGACTCTCCAGCTGATCTTAGGATAGTGAGCACACACACCCAGTTCCCTTTTTCGGATGGGCTCTGATAAGATAAGATGATGGCCGGCCCGGCTTACCCCGGTCGAACATTTCCTTAAGAGGCATTCAAGTGCACGTGACTGTGAGTTAATCCCCCCGAGACTGTTTTGTGGAGATCTAAATTTATATGACAATGAATTGTGAACGTCTTGTGGATCAATGGTAATATTGTAGGTGCTGTTGTTCAGTGCTCGGGTTCGAACTCGTTGTAGTGTATTTTTTTTAGCAAATTGTTTCCTCTGCCTCTTCCGAGCATTCTTTCAAATCTGTAATAATCTATACCTTGATGTGATCCTTTGAGATATTGCTTGTCGGGCTTTATTCTGCTGGCAGCAGTAATGCTTTGGTAGATCCATCCTATATGCCTTGTTTACCATGACACAGTACTGCTTGTTCATTGTATGGACCATCTAGGCTAATGAAAAATGATATTGCACATAGTGAGACAATATTTTCTTTACTGGGCCGTTTACTTGCAACAGAAACCCTCCCAGGCCTTCATTCATGACATCTGCCACCAGCAGAGCAATTTGTGCACAGAGGTAATGTGTACCATTGATGTCGGGCCACAGCTAATCATCTTCATCACCGAGGAACTTGGTGCGTGAGCGATGACAGCCACGGCATGTTCCGAGCTCATCTTATCTTATCAGGGCCTGTCCAAAAAAGGGAACTGGGTGGGTGTGCTCACTATCCCTGATCTTACGCCATGTCTTCTATCCGGTAGCCTTTTTCACTGGCGTGCCACGCGGTGAGATCCTCCGTGTTGCTGCACTGCTCGCAATGAAACTCATCGAGAATGAGTTCATCGGCTACACCGGTGAGTGTTGTCCGCAGTATAGTTGGCTATATGCGTGTTGAGCAGTCATGTAGATCTTCAGGCGATCATGACGAGCGACAACCCACTTTCGGAACTCACCTTCACGATTGCGTCATATTTTCTGTGTGGCTTCGCCAACCTCTCATTGCTCGGCATCCAGATCAGTGTACTGAGCACTCTCGTGCCAACACAAGCTGAGATTATCGCACGTATTGCGCCATCCGCGATGATCTGCGGGTTCATCTCGTACGTCACTCTCGTGCTTGGTGGAACATAAGAATGCCGATGACAGATTTGACAGGACGTTGCAGGCAGCTGGCATCGCCGGTATGCTCGTGTAAAGCGACGTATCAGTATTGTTTACCGGCAATAGCATTCGATGTACTGTTATCTGCTCATGATGTTAGTGCCTGTGTTTGGGTCTCTGCAATCTCAGTATTTACGATATTCTCACTCGCATTCGTGACATCTCGATGATTAACAACAACATAGGCCATGATTGACTCTCCATCTACAAACTTCAATCACATGAGGTAAACATCTGCCGTCAATATGTCCTTACAGCATGCACCGGGTGCATCAATCATAAGCTGTCCGGTTCATGATCAATGGTCACCGGTCGAAGGGACATTGACTTCGGAGAGATCCGGGACGTCCAGTGAGAATAGGGGAGATAGTATGGATAAATCAGCATAAGGTTAGGATACACGATGACACGTCTAATAAGCCTAAGCCAGTCGTGCGGCAACGTCAAGAATAAGTGAGAAAATGGGTACAATAGAATGCTTCTCTCCCCTTGAGAGCGAACGGAAGATAGTGTATGATCTCATCATTCAGCTCCTGTCGCCACGGAGACGGCGAGCTAAAGCCAGATCCTTAAGTTGACTGAGAAAGGATATTAGCACATCTGCTAAATGTCAGAATGATAGAAGTAGATGCTCACATCGTGACTCGCTTGGCATGGATCGCAGCAAGGTTGGTGTCCTCGAAGAGGGACACAAGATAGGCCTCGGCAGCCTCCTGAAGAGCCATGACGGCTGAAGCGAGTGCTTTGCGAGCGAGAGACGTCCAATCTTTCAGCTCGACCGTCGCGGACGTGTCGAGGAGACCAATCTTGCTGAACCCATCCATCAATCGCGAGAAGCCGGCGTATCTAGACAACAACAGTAGAACCCATCAAGACATGAACTCAGTGTCACAGTCAGACGTACCGCAAAGCCCCTCGGAAGATCGTGCGAAGGTTCTCAGATCCCAGCCCGTAAAACCCAGCATACGGAAGACTATTCCGGTTCGGCAGCCCCTCAAAGCGCAGGACCTTCGACACGGGCACGTCAGGCACGCACGACGTCAACAAGTCACTCTCATGGATCGTATATGTCTGCCAGCCCACTCGGGCCACATCAGCCTCAACCTCCTCCAGATCACGATATCACAACGAACCTGGTGCCCCAGCCTGAACGTCGCCTCGTTTAGGTTTAGTGCAGCGGTGAGCACGCCGCGCGGATTCCAGCTAAACTTGTACCCGAGCGGCACGTCCTCCGCGCACTCTGGCGCAGGCAGGCCGCCGCAGAATGACGTGAACGAGACGACCTCCTTGCCCTGCCGCTTCAGCGAGTCGACCAGCGCCAAAGCGGAGCAGCGATCGATCCCCAGGTCCAACCCGATCTCATTCAGCAGTAGCACGTCCGCGCCAACCGCCCTGCATGGCGGTCAGCATATTCGCATCGAAATGTGAGGGAGAGAGACACACGTACTCATCGTGCAGGGCGCGCATGGCAGGAGAGATGTACGAGGCGGTGACGAGGTGCTTTCGGTGTTTGATACAGAGCTGCACGACGGATGGGTGGAATGGGACTGGGAGCAAACTGTACCGTCGTCAGACTCCTCGCCAATATAATCTTGACCTATGTACGAACCTGATGACCACGTCCGCCTCCGCGACCAGCCTAACCATGCTCTCGGGGTCAGCCATGTCCACCTGCGCAGCGGTCGCATTAAGGTACACCTCCGTCTGCCGCTCTGCTTCCAGGATAGAGTTACTGGCTAGCACCACATGAGTAGCTTGAAGACGACCTTGGACTCTGCGAGAGACACCGACCAACAAGCAGCTCCATGTCACTGCGCTTGCACAGCTCCTCGATCGCCGGACCGACCACCATACCGCTCCCAAGCATCAAGACCTTCTTCCTCGGCTCTCGCGGAGTATGATGATGCTTCACGGCCGCAGACGCCGGTGGGATAACAGCAGCGGCTTGTCCGCTCATAGCAGCAGCAGCCCGCTTATGATGCCAAATCTCCAGCGGTTTCTCCAACCATGCACACTCCCCCACGAGCCGCCCGCCCTTCGCCACCGTCGCCCACCTCAGTGCCTCCGCCTTCTCCCGCTCTCCCGCATTACCATGGTACTTCCCAATGAGTGTGCGCAGGTACGGCAGTAGCACCCTCGAGAAGTGCTTCGACGCCTCGAGCGGGAGGGCCGTGGGCAGGATGTCCACCGCCATCATTGTCACCGGCAGGAAGTGCGCCGGGCCTATCGTGAAGAATGGCGCAGAGAGCATAGAATGACACGGGAGGAACTCGAGGCCGCCCTGGTATGAAGGTGACGTATGAGATGCAAGTCGGTTGGAGGAAAATGAAAGCCCACCTCGATGTCACAGCTGATGTCCTCGACGCACGCGAAAATGCCCCCGGCTGACTTGCTGTGCGCGCTCGAGTGCGATCTCCAGCTGCGCGTTCGTCATCACGCGTGGGTACGCCGGTGATCAGCCTGCACCATGCAGGAGAAGAGAGGGGTACGGTGCGATCTGGAAGTCAATGAAGCCCATGCGCACCTACCTGGTACACGACAAAGACTCACCTTCATATGGAATTCGGACGCGTATTCTTGCGGGTTCACATAGTAGTCCGAACGCTCGTATGGCTTACCATCCATCCGCACGAAGTAACCTGAGGGGCGCGCGTGGACCACGTAGACCTGCGATACAAAACATCACATGTATGTCGCGTACACACAGCTCTGCGAGTCTCGTTCCTTCCACAAGTCAGTGTCTGGATCTCCGTCAGTTTTCATAAGACACAGGCATAGAGAAATACGCACTTGGATCGCTGACTAGTGCCGGCAGGTCCTTCACAGCGACTTTCACATGGGGCAAGTCACTGAGAAGCTCTAGCACGCCTTCGGCGACCTTCCCAGCACTGTGATGTGCCTAACATCCGTCAACAGTCGCGACACTTCGGGGGGAACACGTATCCAGTCACGCCAAAGACGATCGGCCCCAAGCACTTGGGCGTGCCTTCGGACGCGATGCACGCGCCGACCTCCTCGTTCAAGAAGGCCCGAATGGAAGCCAAGATCGGATGTGAATGCGGGCGCGGAGTGTACTGTGGAACACGTGAAATGTGAGCACCGCGTACGAGTACGAAATGTGTGGAACGTACCAGGAATGGACTGGCCACACCCAGCTCCAGATGTGCATGGGCTAGCACGTTCATCGACTCGAGTACTCCGGCGACTACAATGCGTCATCATGATGTATGAGATCTCGGAACATCGCAGCTACTCACCTCTTGCAAACCAGCCGAACCCGGCCGTCCGCTTCCCATCTTCGCCCGTGAGCAGCTCATAGTCCAGGAGACGCAACAACAGCGTTGGCTTGTCCGTAATAGTCCCTCCTGGCATATGTGACGAGGACACAAACTTGGAGAGCAGCTCCATATTGTAATGCTGTCCCTTGATGGTATGCGAGAACATAAGATGCGTACATGGCACTGATCGCCCTGCATCAGAGAGAGGAGGTGCAGGATCATTCAGCACTTCCGACAGAGGCTGTCTACTTGATTCCCAGTATGATGTGTGCGGGTGCGAGATTCTCAACCACGCTCACGCCCGCCTACGCGTTCATGTCAGAATGGGTCTGAAAGTTATCCAACAGCAACGCACCGTCGCAAAGTCCTTTCCTGTCCACACTCTCCTATCGCAATCCTCTACCAGGACGTCCACACCGTCCCTCTCAATGAGCTCGTGCACAGCGTGCGGTGTCAGAGGACACCTCCGCTCCCATATTCGCGCCGGGTCCTCTCTGCGGATGCCAATCGTTGGTTTCGCCGCTGTCGGGGCGGTGACGTGGTACTGTCACGCCGAGGAGTGACGGAGACATAGGGGAGAGCGTCGGAGGAAAGACATCGTGCGCGATGAAGTGTGCGCCGTCATGGTCGTGAAGTGTCATAGATGAAGGGGTATGGAGCGCCTGAACGGACGACCGGAGTGGTCATGCCACGTCCGCGATCAGCAGTCATCCAAGGCACTGTAACTTGGCCTGCCCGACACCAAGACCGAAACTTGAAGTTTGCACGACTTACGCGCGTATCTCCAGACTGGGTTTCGATGTCGGTGTGACCGTGCGTGACCGACGCGTACCGTCACATGCCACCAACCGCGTCGCTGTGGTGGCGCCAATGCTTTCGCGGTGAAGTCCATATGATCAAGTCAGTTGTAAGGCAAACCAAAGGCAAGCGTTTGTCCTCGCTGTGGACTCTATTATTGGTCAGTGCGCAAAATAATCTGCTGATGAGACGAAGACGCACGACAAGCAAAAATGGTGGAGGCCTATGTCGGCAGGACTGGCATGGCCGCTGCGTCTTCCTATGCCCACTACCAGTCCAGAGGGTCGGGTGAGAAGGGGTTGGAAACGATTGAGATCGACCGCAGTATGCCAGCCTCGGGTTGACATGCCGAATACAGAAGAGCGTCGGGAGGTGCACCATTCCTCCATACTCGTCCTTCTCTTCGCTCGACGCTCACGCATAACGCATATCCATTTGCAGATCCTCGAAACGCATAGGCGCAAGACGGCCATCGCGCTCGCGCGCGACACGGAGGGCTTCTCGGGCGCGGACCTGCAAGCGCTCGTGTACAACGCGCACCTGGAAGTCATTCACGATACCATCTCGTCGCACGCGATCAACGGGACTGCGAACGGAGTTAACCACACGTCCGCGCAAGATGATTCAGAGCCTGTGGAGTACACCGTGCTTGGGATGACTGACGAGGAACAGGCGCGCGTGCTCTCAAGGGCGGAGGAGTCTGCGTTCCAGAAGCGGGTGAGCAGCGCTGTTGGGGCTGATTCGAGCGTGTGATGATTGGGGTGTATGTGATAGTTGCAACAGATATTGAGGAAGCCGGGCGCGGCGAAAACTACGTTAGGCGGGTTGGGTGGAAATGTTGGCAGGCCGGTGAGCTCGATTTCTGGGTACCGCTCGCGCGAATGCTAAACGCGATGTGACTACGTGACCACGTAGAAACGTGAGATCACGGAGGACCACCTACGCAGGGTGTTCAAGACAACGTGGCCATCTATCCCCCCAGCGGAACGCGTACGGCTGGAAAGGATGTGCGTTCTATTCGCGGCAGAATCGGTTGCGACTGATTCTGATGTGCTAAATTCGTTAGATACCGTATGTTCATCTCGGATCGGAGTGGCGAATTGTCTCTTCCTCCGGAAGGGACAGATGTGGGAAGCAGGATGACACTTAAGTAGGTGTTGGTGGGTGTTTCCCAAGATCCTCCGTGTAATCTAGCGTCAAAATCGATTCGAATTACGACCTAGGACGTTACTAGCGATCGGTCCACAATCTACAAGCAATGAGCAAATTATGGTTCGAAATCACAGTATCGACTACACAAATGTACAATTAACAACTACGACAGCACTTGGAGGTATGCTACGAAAGCAAGGCAGTTTACAGCGGGATTATAAGGCAAGAAAGTAGCGGGGGTCCGAGTGTCCGAAGCACCCAACAGGCGTATCCGTCATTGCTCGTTCCAGCTCGTGAAATGCTCCCCGGAGCACCTTCAGCCCTCGTAGGGAAGAAGATATACGCGCACGGGGTAGCAAGAGTCGTAGGTGTAGAGCGTGTTGTTCGTGCTCGGCGCATAGACGAGATTGTTCTGGGTGCCGGCGAGGCAGAGCGAGAAGTTATCTGCGTCGTTGTTCACTGCGAGGACAGCTTAGTCCTTCGATTCGTCCTAGAGCGGCAGGCATCAGAATCCAGCGTGATCAGAGGTATGCTGGAGGTGCTACTCACCGCTGCGCAGTATATCTCGTCGACCGCAGGGTTGCTCTCGGCGATACTGATGATGAAATGGACCTCGTCGCCCTCGTTGATAGCAAAGTCGCATGCTCCGAGGCCATTCTCGCTGGAGCCGGGTCGGGGGTAGAGCCCGCCGCCCGTCAACGTGAAGTACGGCCACTCATTTGAGCCCCACGACTCGTACGTCCATGAAAGCATCTTTGAGACATGCCTGCATGTATCTAAAGTAAGGGGTGCTACTCACCGAGATGACCCATTCACTTGCCGCAGGGCTAGTACCCGGCGGGCCCCACGCGAGCACGAGCGGCACACTGTTGTCGTTCGCGTTGGACTGCATGAGGTTGTATGCCGTGAGCGTGAAGTTGTATGACGGCGAGGCGGTGGAGCCGTCGGGCAGGCCGACGCAGGATGCGCTGGTATTCCAGCGGGACTGTAAGATGGGGAGGGCGAGCGAAGTGCCAGCGAGGAGGGCAGTGGCCAGGGACAGTGCGTATGCGAACATTATGGTCGTTAATTAGACGTTAAACAGGGGGTATTGATATCTTTGTTTGAGTGGAGAGGGTGGTGACAGGCAGCGGGTATTCATGCGATGCGCAACGCCCCCGACATGTTGCGTTGCGTGCCTCCGCGTCGGGCCCTGGGCTGTCATGCAGTACATTGCCGTTACCACCACAAATCCGCTCTCACAAACCGTAGTCACATCACTCGCACCTGAGAGCTCATCAATTCGCATTATGACCTCTTGAATCCTGCCATCTAGGAGCATCCAACAGAAGCACTAAAAAGTCGGAACTGCACTCATATATCATTCGAGAAACCTGCAGCATCAGAGAACGTCACCATGTAGAAGCTACGGGAAAGTCAGATAGAGTAAAGTTCAGCTGGAACATAATGATGGTGAGAGACCAACTAGAAGGTAGTAAACATCGTGAGTCATGCCTCGAGACGAATGTTGCAAGGGCCGCAGGCGAGACAAAAAGAGACTAGATGCAGACTCCAGCAGCACCTTCATTTGGGCGCTTGCAGATTGTGGCCCGTTACATCGTCCCAAATCGACATGAGCAAAAAACAAATAGAGCAAATACAGTTCTCTCATATTACGAGCAATCGTCATGTCATAGTGATGGCAGACTCAAAGTTCCTGAAGCGCCCACAATCAGCCACCAGACATGCATGTATGGAAAAGTACAATGGACGCACTCACTCGACCGTGGTGGGTAGCTGGTCAATGCATTCGCGAATGACGCGCAACGTCTCGTTCTTGTCATAGAGCACGCGACTGCAGCTGGCACACCGCGCATCCCAACACGTACGCGCAGCCGACCACTCGAGCAAGCCGCTCCCACAGATGGTGTCACCGATCGGACGGACGTCCATCTCAAGGATGATGACGTACTTGAGCTCGCGCCAGGTGTGGTACTCGACGATCTCACCACAGTTCGAACAGAATGTGTCCGTATCGTCGTTGACGAACGGCGGGTCGTTCAGCCGCTGTCGCAGCGCCTCCCGCCTGGCGTGGTGCAGCTCAATGAGGCTGAGAAGTGCCGGTGTCCTGAGCTTGAGCAGCGTCGGACGGTGCTCCGGAGCATGCAGATCAATTGTGAGGGTTTTCTGAGAGGCAACGCGTGCCTCATCATGCCAGCCGTAGCGGCATGCCATCGCGTAAAGTCGTAGCGGTTCCGCGAGAAATGATGGTGTCATCACCAGCGCTCGCACGATGGACATCGGACCGGGCATATCGTACTTCTCAGCGGCAAGCAAGAGGGGCTCGACCACAGCGTACGATTCGAACGCAGGAATAGGGAGGCCGCTGATCATTTGCAGCAAGCTTTCGAGCGTCGCCGTGTCCTCGTCGAGGTAGATGGCGTCAGCAGCACTGGGTGAGTCGCCGCGCGGAGGAAGCGAGAACATAGAGCGGAACCATCCCGACGTCGTCTTGAGAGTGAATGAGTGCATGCGGAAGAGGGTGCGGTCTTTTGAGCCGAGGATCACGTCCCCGTCCTGAGAGGAGAACAACGGGTGAAATTGGGCGGGAGGACAGTCAGAATCGTCAGCGTCCGCTTGCATGGTGTAGTAGCAGTAGAGATGAGTGCAAGTATCAGAGAACAGTGAATGCGCGAGGTGCAGTGTGTAGCATCAGAGTGGCGTCAAGATCCGCCGGCCAAGATCAGCACATGGCATTTAGGCGCCCTTCGCCGCCACATCCTCGCCACCCATCCACCCCTGTGAGTGTATCTTCCCGTCCTTCGAAAAAGCTCACAATATTAAACTGATATAGGCGTGTACAAATGCTCTCAGCGGCTTTGATCATCGAGGTATGAAAACTGCATCTCCACCACGAAAGATGATCTCCATCAGGGAGTCGCGTGCGGAAACACGGCTTCCATTATACGCCTATTTTCTTCAGATTCCTCCACTCATTAATCGAGTGTGAACTTCCCTGGTGGAGACACCGCGGAGACCGCGATCCCAGGAAGATGTTCTAATTTTGGTGAACTTCCAGTCTCCATATGGGCCTTGATGGTCCAAATGGAGATTTCGGCAGCAGTGCTCGGGAACTCGATATTTGTGCAAGTGCTGGGCGTTTCAATCGGGGTTATATTCGGTCAGCTGCTATACGTCAATGGGCACCAGGAAAGTGACTATTCGGCCTCTCCTGATTCGCGATATCAGTGACGCTCAAGCTAGTAGCGGTTGCCAACTTAATTATCGACCCTGACGATCCACATGATACATCACGGAGAATGTACCTCATACAGTATCGGCAAATAAAGCGAAGTTGGACGACTCCGCACTTTGATCGAGACTTGTACAAGAAGGCAAATACTGGGCAATGATCTTGGTTTACTCTGGTCCTTCTCGGCGAAGGAACACTCTTCCCGTTTTTCAGCTCAGTCTCAAGGCCCCGCACGTATGGACAGCTCGGACTCCAAGATCGTATACGATTATCTGGGCCCCATCATAATTGCAGTCGCAATCAATGCGTCCTTGTTTGGGTACTGCTCCATACAGTACTTCCAGTATCTCCACTCTGAAGGCGCAGGTACGTACTGCGATCGGTTCGTCAGCTGCAGTGTCTCGCTCGGCGAATTAGTCTCAGATTCGTTCCTCCAGACTACTTGTATGTTATGTATGCCTGGTCGGCGGTTGTCATACGGCAATCTCGTGGTACATGCTGTGGTACTATGCCGTTGATAATTTCGGGTCCCCAAAACATTTGGAAGACACTCCATGGCCGTATGTGACGACACGTCTCTTCGTTGTATTGTACGTGATTCACGTTTTCTCGTAGATCCGCGCTCACACGATGTAATTAACGGTAGAGTATCTTGTCCCATACAGCAATTCTTCGCTTGGCGGGTGAAGATCTTGGGTACAAGCAAGCTGCTCTTTGTCATCTCGTCAACGCTCTCTATATCAGGTGCCGCGCTGATAGTCGTTGATACCATCATGACTCTCAGCTCTTCCGAGTACGTGCGCGTTAAAGAGTGATTGGTGCCGCGAAAAACTTAATCCTGCACAGATCGTCACGGCATATGCCTGACGTTGATCTGACCAACGTCGGACTTACCATTGCATCTGCATGCGATCTGCTGATAGCGTACGTCTAAAGAAGACGTATAGTACACTGCTGACCCTGTTGTTATAGTTTCTCGCTGCTCTATTACCTGCTGAAAAGCCGTACAGGATTCAAAAGTAAGTCCAGCTCTGTGATACCTTTCGACAATGCTAACAGGTACTATTAGGGACGGACAATGTGATTTTGCGCTTGATAAACACCTGCGTGCAGACTTCATTAATTAACGCTATGGTCTCGGTGAGAATTTCCTCGCTTGTACCAGATACCTTCCGCTGATCAGAAGACCTGCATCCAGTCGCTTGATCTCGCCTTCTTTGTAAGTTCTCGTTCGAACCGCGACGCACAATGGCTAAATATTTGAAACAGAACGCATTCAAAAACGCCAATTGGTGCTTCATATTTGCTATTGTGCGTATAATGGCACGATTTTGAAAGAATGTCTGATTGAAACTGGTGACAGCCAATGGGGCATGTCTACACGTAAGTATGCTAATCCGCTCTGCACGCTCGGACCGTCTCATAGTGTTTCATCGTAGAATCTCCTTGTTAGCTGTGAGTCCGACACATCTTCAAGGTTATGTGGTCATGTCTCACGCTCATCAGCTGTTAACATCAAGAGCATCATTGAGGGAAAGATTCGGGGGGATCACAGAGATCAACCTACCAGATACAGTAAGTTGCCTGCAAGCCATATTTCTTCTCTGCCTCAAGTGGCCCGTCATCAGATCGCAAGTCCCTTCAACGTACGACAATTGTTCAATAATCGCATCCAGCCAACTGAGATTCGGGTTGCTGTGGAGCAACGGGTTGAGTTGGACGATGGAACACCTTGCAGGCGTGGTGCAGAGTCCCCTGTGAAGATCAAAGAAATGCGCAAGTCCGGCACTAGTACTCCCGATGCAGCTGACGAGTACGATCTGAGAGTTGTGCCATGATGGTACGGTGGTGAGTATAAAGAACGAGTGTCTTCCTGCACGAAAGCTGATTCATGAGCCTAGTACGGTGGATCCAGTGTTATTCGCGATAATTGACATTTAGGAGATGTAGGCAACCTTCCGTTAAAATAGTCCGTGTATTAGTCGACGTGCCAGCTACGATACGTACTTTTATCTTCGGTCCGCACACGCAGTCGGTGTCCTCGTGGACGATCGTCCGCCTGTGCAGACTGCTCGTTTTGAGATTTCAACGTGAAACGCGTTTTCAACCAAGCTTCCTCTCGAGGTCATGGACTTGTACTATCACTTTCCATTTACAAATGTTTGCGATGGACTCCAATTATAATGTTGTCATTTTCCTCATGGCGGTGGCGAGTGACACGCGGTGGCTGGAAGTACCGCCCCGAGTGGCTCTAAGTTGGGCTGCACAAGTCGAACGCCTTGGCCACTTCCACCGCGCTCGAGCCAACCACCCCCACTCCTTCGCTTTCAACTTCTCACACACCGCAAAAACACCGCTCACAAACGGCCGATATCCGCCATGTCTACAACTCGAGCTCCCACTCACCAGCCGTTGCGATCGCAGCTGACCAACGCTACTCGCATCGTCCCCGACGTGGACGTGATAATCCTATCTTCAGATGATGAGGCTCCAGCCAAGGCGCCCTCGAAGCCCAACAAGCCAAAGGCGAAAGGCAGAATGCGGGCAAGGATGCCGTTCCCATTCCCCCTTAACGTTGAGGTTGTCGAGATATCTTCCGACGAAGAGATGCTCAAGTTGAAGACCGTCCACCGCTCAAAGAGCACGATCGGCAACGTGCAGCAGCAGATGAAGAGCATGCAGAATGTGAGCATGCCATATGCGCCAGCTATAAAGAATAGTTCTAATTACTGTGATATTGGGCGCCTCAGGAGATCGCGCGTCTCAAAGGAGAGCTTTCCAGTGCGAAAGCGCGGGCACGAGAGATGGAGAAAGCTTCACAGCAGGCAATGTCTGGGGTACGTACTGGTGTTGTTCGTCACATAGCTGCCGTTCTCACGTTCTATCCAGTCTTCGTTAGACGATGTGACGAACTGCGAGATTTGCACGCTCCGTATGTGGACGCCGAGCACGTACGTCCGTCATCCTTATTGTCACACGTTATTGACTAATCGTATGATGGCTAGTCTCGCATGCGGCCACACGTTCTGCCAGAACTGCCTGCAAGGGTGGTTCGGTAGCCAACTCGCACAATACATGAGCACTCACCCCCATCACAACATGCCGAACTTGGAGGCATACCGCATCGCTCTTCGTGACCCCTTCCTGTCGGCCCAACAGCGCATCGAGCTGGAGTCACAACTCCGCATAGCCATTCTGCAGCATCATCCTGACTACACTTGCCCGTCTTGCCGCGCGGTGGTAAAAGAACGGCCTATCGAGGTGTACGCCATCAAGTCTGTCGTGCGATCCGCTGCTGGCGCAGCTGGGGAGACCAGTCTGACCAAATATGCCCCATCAAATGCGAGGAATCATGGTGGTCACAGGCTGGACAATCCATGGGACGGATTCTTTCCTTGAATGTGGTGCATAGTTTTGTGAAGTTGTCCATCATTTGTGGTGGAACAGGACGCGTTTTCTTTCGAATCATGCTGGTTTGGATGTCAAGGTTACAGACTTATCTGCGGGTTCTGTTCAATGCTTTTGGTCTATGCAATTGCTCCTCAGTCTGTAAACCAGCAATTCCACGTCGTACTATACGCCGTCATCATAGCATCGCTATTGCGTTCTCCTCGTCCGTTCTGAGCGATATTCCAAATGATATGAAGTGAAAAGCTACAGTACATTGATGGGATATATAAGCGAATTATATGGATCCAATGCACTATGACAAGATCATGAGAATGCTAGATAGGATTTACATAGTGAAAGATGTAAGTCCGGATTTCTTCTTTTTCTGAATGCCCGTGCCTGCTCTCCTGTCCTGCGGAACATGAGACTTTGTTACCTTGTCCGAATCTGACCCCGAATTATCCGAGTCGTCGTCGTCCTCATCGTCGCCATCATCCTCGATCTGGTCAGTAATGCTACTCTTGTTGGCAACGGCCAGCGTCAACGACGCTCTGCTGCTGTCCAAGGGACGGAAAAGCTGCTGACTCGTCACATTTGACAAGCGGCGGAACTGTGTTTTCGCATTCCATGGACCTGAGCGCGCAGCCGGACGCTTCGTGACGGTAAAAGCGCCATCGTCCGGGTCAGAGCCAATGGATGGAAATGAGGTTGGCATCATGCCTTTCGCAGAAATGGGATTCTGCGTATTTTGCTGCGTTTGATACTGGCTATTGTCCGGTAGGAAGAGCGCGTCACCTTCAGCGGCATCCCTCGATTCCTGGCTTGCGGGATGCACATCCGATGCTGCATCATGAGAAGACTGAGACGCATTCTGATCATCCGCGACCTGAGCAGCGGGTTGCGAGCTCGTCTTGCTACGCACGATCTCAACTGAAAATAATTTCTTCGCCGGAAGGAGGCCTGTCCCAGATGCGCTGCGGGCGGGACTGCTTGACCCCAGCTCATCGAGCAGTGACTCTGGTTCAACAGTAAGCTCGTCCCCACCCTGTGTCAAAGTTGTCCAAGCCGGGGGCTGTACATCTTGAGTGGTTGGGCGAGGTGTAGCTGGACCATCATCGGCGGAGGGTTGATCGTCGTCGGCGGCGGTATTGGTCACAACTTTGAATGCGCTAGCGGGCTTCACGGCTTTGCCACTCTTCTTCGCGGCAGACGCTTTCTGTCGCGGGTTCGCCTTCTTCGCCTCCTTGATCTTCTCGTCCGCAACACTTTTCTTGGCAGCGGCTTGTTCTTTCCCCGCTTTTGTTCGAGCTTTCCCATCTTTTGATAGCGGCAGTC